GTTCGTATGGAAGACGGTTTCCCGGTAGATGACCTGGGCCCCGATTTGTGAGTTCTTTTCCTTCTGGAAGTATCTTCCTTGCGGCGAGCTATTCCAGGATAGCTCTCACGGTAGTTTCCGTTCTGTCCACCTCAGCATTTCCAAATATGTCATATTTTCTAGCTCGGCCTCAGTAGGTTCCCGAGCTAGATCCTTCCACGAATTCGGGGATAATATCCTCCTCTCCGTATTCTCTGACTCTATGCTGCTGCTGTAGGTCGAAGTCCGCCCTATTCCAGGGTTCTCGTAGATTTCTCCTTCTTCTAATTCTGATAGGTCGGACTCGCTCGAAAGGCTCCATGCTTCCCGTGACGATACGGTTCCAGTTTCGAATGATTCTTGCCCACTCGTTGACCCTGAGTACGACCTGATCGAAGTCTGGTCTTCGGGGTCTATCCCATACCCAGGGTGCAATGAATGGGACGGGGGCTGCGTGGGGGTGTTCTGGGGCAAGGGGGTAGATGGCGTATGGGACGACGGATGCGGGGGGTTCAATTCCTTCGTACATTCTCCAGGCGTCGGCGAAGTCCTGTACTTGTCTGCATACATCGCAGCTGGCGTCGGCGTCGTACGTGGGCTCACATCGGTCGAGCTCGGTAGTGGCTTCCCCGGCCCTATCGTTGATGATGATTGGGGTGTTGGGACGTGTGACGAGCTGGAGATAGCTTCCTTCGTCGTCTGATGAGTCTTCCCGGGCGTAGTAGTAGCCCCAGGTTTCTCCCCTGGAGTCCAACCTTGGAGGGGACCAGTTGTTGCGCGGCCCTGGGAGCTCGTCGCTGTCGTTGTCCTCCTCTGTATCGCCGTCTTCTTCATTTGAACTGCTTCCAGTTCCATTTTCAGCCTCTCTTCTTTCTCCCAAATGATATCTAAGCCCTCTTTGATAGAGGCGCTGTCCGTTTGAATCATATCCAGGGTTGGCGGCTGAATTTTCGGTTGATGTGGGTGAGGGGGCGTTCCAGGGATCGCTTCCTTCGCTTTCCCCTTCATCCTCCTCCTCGGTAATGGGAGAGAGAACACGCTGGTCCACCCCTTGTTCGTAGATTCCGTGCTCTGCTTCTTCTTCAATGACTGGGCCTCTTTGTGCGGGCCATCCTTCCACCTCGGAGTTGGACTCACTGGACTCACTTGTGTCGGAGTCTTCTGTGATCCACTCGTCGTCGGTGATGAAGATGAAGTGGATGATGGGTTCGGGTCGGTCGTCAACGTATTCGGGAGGGGGTGTGTTCGGTCGTCTAGCCTCCGGGTTGGGGGCTTCGACGGGGATAGTTTCTTCGGAGACTGGCTCCTGGTTTCGTCGGTACTCGTATCCATATAGGAACGTGAGATAGGCTATGGCAATAAAGCCTTGTAGTCCGAAGAGGTCGGTGAGGTATTGTTCAATGGGGTTCATTCGTTACTGTTCGTCAACGTAGTTGTTGATGAAGAGTAAGAAAGTCTCGAACTAATTGTTAGCGACCGATTACACAAACAAGATCAAACAACTAAGCATGACTCGCACTTCGGTCAGGTGCTTTGTGTTGCTCGCAGGTTTGCGTGCAGGGAGCTATCGCTTAGTTGAGCGAGAGTGAGTTTCAGGCTAAGTTATCGGGTGAATAAACTTTAGTTCGAGACTGAGGTTTAAGACCTGCAGTCGAGCTACTTAAATACAGTTTGGGTCGTGCTAAATATACTACAAGTGTCTGCAACGGTGCGGTAAACGTACCAAACCCACATGATGAATGCGATCAAGTCCGGAGGATTAGCATAGCGAGATTACGAGAGAGCTGATAAGATAAGATAAGGCGTGAAATCGTAATAACAACCACATGATTGGCAGAGAGAAAAGGTAGGCCGAGAATGATGTCCGTGCAAAGGCCAGGTGCAATAATGGCATGAACAGTACAGGAGGACCAAAAATTCGATTTATCGTGGGGTTTTAGTTTGACCCATTCAGTGAGGTGGCAGGCAGGCAAGGATGAATCAGATATTGCGACACCAATGTCTATGGGTTCAGGTAGTGGGCGACGTTTCAAATGCAGGCGGTCGACAATCTCCGGGTGAATAAGCACTAAATGTGCCCCGTCATCTACTAAGGCAGTCACATCAGAACGGGGTTCAATATCAGTCGGATTGCGGGAATCAACAGCACAATGCCACAAAAGATGTGGAACAGCAAATGGAACAGGCAGGGAAGATTTACTCACAGCTTCAGAGTCTACAGAAAGGTTGGCATCAGCTGTGGTGCCATCAGCATTGTCGGCTTCGAGAACAGATGAGCTGTTGACAGGGACTGCAGCAGCAATGGGCCATGCGGTTGTCCCCAAGATCTGGACTGATGCGACAGGTGCCTGCGAAGGTGCAGCAGGAGCTTGTGCCGGGGCAGGAGCGGTAGCAGTAGGTGCAGTGGAGGTTGAGGCAGAAGCTTGAGCATTGACTACAGTGATAGTGAATAAAGGTAGTCCTTTGGCCTTGTCCACATGTCAACGAATAACCCACTCCGCCATGCAGCGTTCATATCCAGCAGCAGGTGGAGCACGTCCCTTGCATTTGCCAAAACCTTGTTCTTCTCTGGGAATGTCAATATTGTGGCATGCAAAACATCCGTCATTGGCAGCAAGAACAGTGCGTTCATCGTCACCAAGTTTACCCTGGTACTTATAGGTGAAGGTGTTGTCAGGAAGAGATGAGTTCGATGAGCTTGTGGTGTCCGAAGAAGCAGGTGCAGAGTTGGTATGATGGGGAGGGTGGTTGCTATGGAAACCAGAGGACATAGATGTGGTCATCATCCTCGTGGTGGCCGGCTGCGCTGCTGCTGCTGCTTCGAGATGTTGGCGTTTGGCAGACTCCAGCGTCTCTACTACATCTGCGATTTCTTTGCACTTCCACTGTAGTTCATCGTCCTGTACCGTAACAAGTTTCGTCCACGTATCCAGACTGGTGCATTCGCGGATCTCCTTGATGTTCTGAATGGCATCCTGTAGCGGCTTGGAGATTCAGCCATGTAAGTTCGCAAGGAGTGCGGCGTCATCAATGAATTCCAGATATTCCACCAGGAGGCCATTTCGTCCTCGAAGGTGTTCAATCCAGTCGATAAAGTTGCTACCTTCTGGCATGGACTCCTGCCAGATCTCATTAGCAAGGTCCTTCGTCCAGGTCGCCAGAAGGAAGCGTTCACGAAATTCAGCCATGAACTGCTTGAAGGTCAGCTTCACCAGGCGAGCTTCGTGTTGCTTAAACCAAGTGACAGCTGGCAGGTTATCTGCGAGTCCTTCTACCAGGTTCGCTAGGATGTCCAGTAGGTCATGTCCTTTCTGGAGTTGGCATCAAATATAATTTTGGCCTACATCGGCATACTGGCTCAGTGTCTCCGGATCGCACAAGTGACCCCGTGTTAGCGTGGGAGGTGCTTGTCCACCGCCATGGGTTATTACATGTGCTGCTTGATCTATAGTGGACATCTTTGAACTGGGGACAGGTGTGGGGCGTTCAGGGCTCGAAGAGTAGTAATCAGAGGAGGAGTCCAATACAATGATGCGTTTGGGTGGGGGTGCAGCTGGTGATCGTTCAGGTATATCTGGAGTGTTTGGTTTCTGCGTAGCTGGAGACTGGGGTGCTGGAGGCATCTTCAGATGGTCTAGTGAGACTGACAAAGGAAAACTGGTCAAGGTGGAGGAGGACAGAAAGGTGGATATTGGCAGGAGAGGAGGATTGACAATGCTGGCAATGGGGCTGGCATGTGGAGTTGTGAAGAGTTCTTCAGCAATACTGTCTTGTATGTCAACAGAAGACTGGCAGGGAGATTGAGGTCTACAAGAACGCGATCTGGGGTTGGGTACGACATGACCTATACCGCAAGATATAGATACATCAGCAAAAAACAGACTGTCGAGCGAATTTCACTCGACCTGGCAACAGTGTGGGTGCAGGCATCATCTGGCGTTTTCGGGGATGCGTGCTGGCAAAAGGTGGGCAAGACATTGGTCTAAAGACCTTTGTCCCAGATACAGGCTGGCGAGATTTGACATTCATTCATTTGTTAAAAAAAAAGTGTAACCTCGCTCTATAGAAGAGCAAGACCACTGAGAGAATCGGACAAGACTAACGAGGAACGGCGTATATTGAAAGCAAGAGGAAGGAGAAAACGGGATGTAGTCGACTATGAAGGAGGGGATGGTGGTGGTCAGAAGGTAAGTGAGGGCGTATCCCAAACTAGCACTAAATATGTAAGTACATGACATGAAATATAGTACGATCGAAGGATCTATGACCAGAGATCTAGTGAGTAATGTCGACGTGGTAAGCAGCATGCTTACAATAAGGTCAGTATCTGCTAGATCACAGCAAATTTTAGGCAGAAATACCTATATTGAGTGAACCCATATGAGACCCATATTTTTTCTGGATTCCAAATCTCTATACGGTACCCATATGAACTGTCCCATAATTCCATAAATACAGGTACAGTGCGGATCCCTACAGTTATAACCCCTCCGGGTATAAAAAAACTCAGATCGGAAGAATGCAAGGGATCCTGCACTTATTGTGAGAGTCAGGGTGCCGAGTAGATCAGTGATGCATTGAAGACTTTTGCAGGAGCAATTCCTCGAGACGAGAAGATGGAAGAATTGGAAATTTTCCATGTGGTGAATTTGATTGGTTTTATTTGGTAACTCCGGTCTTTGCTTCCTTCCCTCACTCAGTGGAGACGTGTGATTCCCTTCTTCCTCAGACTCATGGTAGCTTCAAGTCGGTGAGAAGGAGACCCAACTGAGATGAAAACAAACCAGTTATATGCATTACATTGCTATGCATCTGGGGACTTGATAACTGAATTTATTTTTAGATAACCATGCCCAGTGCTTCAAGGCCAGCCAGAACATGAGAAATCCTTCATCAAGGCGATCAACATCAACCATATCTTGTCTCCAAGCTACATATCGACATTCCCTTTTGCGTTCCTTGGCCCTCACAGGTGCATATTTTCATGATGAAGATTCATCTCCTTTGTAGGTGGTATAGGAAGGGACGAAAGGATAGGGCCAATAGTGATGAGGTTGATGCTGCAGTTTAATTGGGTGGGCTTTATGGGTGGCAGTGCGGGAAATGACTACACCAGGTAAGACGCCCCTCCCCCCCCCCATCCCAGCACACATCACTGACAGTGAGAACCTAGATGTGCAAATGATTCCACATACTCACAGGACTCCACAACGATTTCAAATTCGACATCCTCTCCAACAACTAACCTAATTCCTGTGATGAAGCCGATCTCAAGTACCACATGCGCCACGCCTACCAATCCACCTCCCACTGGCTCTCCTCTTCCTGAGACCACCTTCTCCAGATCCCCCATATCTGCAACTCTCCAAGGCTCCCAGCTCCCACCTATATCTAAGGGAATTCTGGTCAGTCCTCACGGTCTGGGTTATCGGATGCAGGTACCAGTCCTCAGAGTGGTCCCCAAGAAGTGCATTGTTCACCGGGTTGAAACTCAATGCGGAACATAAATCTGAAGCGAGCATCTTGGATGGGTATGCATTCATCCATCTAGTGAATGACGGCTAATATTCATGTAGGCTGCAGAGGATTGTGCTCCTGGCTCTGGATGACTTAGGGAACCCTGCATGAAGCCCCTACCTTCGACTCCGACCTCCGCCCAGTTACCTCACAGCTGACGACCTAGCTCTGAGTGATGACCCCTCCAAAATGCTGTCCCCAACTGGAAGGCCATTGAACATGCCTACCTCAATAGCATAGGCGACATGCAGGTATGGTTCCTGCAACTATTCTAAACCCGCTTATTCATCTGTACTCACAGTACGACCATTACATGCAAGTCATCCTCACACCATCCACCATCCTCGTCGTCCGTACGCACTCCACCCACCCTCGCTATTACCGGGCACACCCGAAGACAGCACCCATGCGATACTGTCTCCGTTCTCATCTGCTTCACAAACAACAACCCTGGGAATCCGAACTCAGCTCCCTCTCCCTCCATTCCTCATCTCCTGATGTGGAGCCCTCCGATGCCTGGACCCCCACCATGGTCGAACACACTGCTATCTTCGCCAGCACACCACCCAAGTCCTCATTCTCATCGAACAATTGGGTGGTATTAGATTATAATGAAGATTAGGGTTTGGGAAGGTTGTCTGTTTGAAGATTGGTCAGCTGCCACACCCTCCGAATAGGGTCATACCTCACCGGCACCATTCACAACGACTGGTTGTTACTCTGGGATCAAGGATGCCTCGGGGAACGTCCATCGCCTTCCTGTGCATGCACATATGTTTCTATATAGGCATGCCCGTTCTTCCTGGTCTGAGTTGGCAGAAAGATGCAAGGTGCAAATTGGAGCTTGGGCCATCATTCTACTTGTGCACGGACCTTCGACATGTTATGCGATCAACCAGACTTTCCTTCTGTGCGATGTCGACTATTACTCGCCTCTCCTCAGCCTCTGTCCAATGGATGAAGAAAGGACGAATCATGCACGCTGATCCCAACGCACAACACACCAGCACGTAATCATGCTGGGCCTGTCTACGATCACATGTCTCTCCCTGTCTTCTCCGTCAGGTGAGTATTTCATTTGAATACGCTCATGGTTACTGAATGCAAACACTCACAGGAATGCACGAACCCCTTCGAGTTTCTGGTCTCTCTGATGACTACCCAGTACATGGTCTATCCGAGATACAAGACTGTATTCACTGACTCGCATGTTTCCGGGAACTGGGACCGCATTCACAAGTGTGTGCTAGACGTACGAGATCGGTCTGGATAGTCTGGGGTATTGCATGCATAGATGGGTGCTCAGGGTGGTCCTAATGTGGTGGCATGGTCAGATCGGTTAGCACCCGTCGCTCTGATGGGGACGACTGACCATGCGGGCAATGTAGAGAATGTGGAGGCCCTCATTGTTATCAACATCAACATCAGCGAGACCTTGGAAGACCAGTGCATGTGCCTATAGGCCACATACAGGTAAGCGTGCTCTATCTTTTCTAAGCACACTTATTCATCTCCTCCACTCACAGAGTGACCACTGCACCCAAGTCACCTTCACTGCAATCATTGTGCATGCTATTCACTCTACCCCAATTACTGCACTACATTGTCCTTGCCCCAACCTCTGCCTCCATGACACTCGGATCCATGGGTCAGTCAGTCCACCTTCCTCCACATACAACAACCCTCTCTCCATCCTCACCTGCTCTGAGAATGGCAGCACTCGAGAACCCCTCATCATTGAACGCGGCCTTCCACCCAGCTCTCGTCAGTGAGATGCTATCCTGCTGTACTGTCAGACGCTTGTAGAACCGTGGCATGAATCGGCCCAAACAATCCTTGTCATGGAGGAACGTAATAGTGACAAAGCACTGGTCACTAATTGCAGTTGTATTCCCTGCCTGCTCAATTCTGATGCTGCTATCCAAGTCCATGCTAGCTATGAGTGAACAGCGTCATGAAGAGCTTGGAAAGTTGGAAAGGTCTGGGTTTTATATACCCTTCATGGTATATTGGCTACATTCAGTCCACCTCCAGGGTTCAAATCCCTTCCCAAAGGAGGCATTTCTCATATTACTGTGTTTTTTCTTCTTGCATGGAAATATGTGTCGAGTATTACCATGTCGAGTTGATCTCGCTTCTGTTGTACCCTTCCAGTTTCTGGCCTTTGGCTTCTTTCTTTCTTTAGTGAGTCCCTACGTTATTCAAGGTCTCATTCACTCTTTTATCCCAGGTCCATGTAGCTCAATATGTACTCCAGCTTTCTGTGGTTCGACTCCGTGGAGGGGCTATATCCTGAAAAATCATGACTTTTTTTAGGAGGGTGAACAATCTGATTTCGAGGTAGTGAAAGACAAGCAAACATTTCGGCTCGATTCTGGTGTGTAGGTGAGGTTTGGGAATGGCATCCATGTCAGGACCAATAGTAGATCATTGCCAGAATTAGAGCTATGGGACTAAATACTGCACTCAAGCTTCCAACATGGTCGTTTGTATGACCATTGGTTATCTGTAATGGAAAAGTTTGATTGGGATGTCGTGTCGACAAAAAGTTTCATTCAGGGGTGCCAGTCCCTCGGCATCCTACGAAACATACTTGAGACGAAGAGTGATACATAAACTTGATCGTGATGCGAGTGATAAAAGGGAAGTCAATGATACTCCATTTTTCTGTCAGGATTCGAACCCAAAGCATACTCCAAGTCGTATCCACTGTGCCATGGAGGTGTCCTACAGCTGAATCTTAACAGGCTCCGACTTCAAGGACAACTGGGACAAGCCTACCAAAATCGGGCAGGTATTGATTTGAGTATACCACCAAGCTAGACATGGTGCTTGCCGATGACTTTGAACTCGTGTGGATAGCAGGGAAGAAAAAACAGTGCATAACATCAAAATCCTTATCCTTCGAAAGGGATTCGAACCCCGTATGTTAAATGTCATGTACTGAGTGTGTCACGAAGGGCATATGCTCAGCTTTAATTAAATGATTAAGGTGTGATTTGAGCATACCTCGTGATGTCCCAAAGGCTCTTTCCTGGGTGGTTGGTGGTTCTGTCCAAATGAAGCGAGTATGATCTGTGTATTCCCAGTTCTGATTACAGCGCAACAACGTTACCTCCAGATTCGAGTATGATCTTTCCCATTTCCTTGTCAGAATCAAACGTGGGCTTGGTTTGTCGGAGCGAGAATTTGGTGCTTTCGACTTAGGGTTTATGCACTTCCCTGTACATTCCACGATGAAGGTGGTGAAGAATGTTCCAAAGCGTCATGAAAACACCACTCACGCTGTCACTTTTGGTCCAGTCAGCACATTACAAAATGCATGGATGGCTTGTCAGCACTAGCTTCAACATGAGATGGACCAGGTAATTTATCAAGTCACAGTCGAAGGAACTAAATTTATTGTGAAATCAACATTCAAGGGTTGGTGCCAATGCATATAAGGATGCTTGTGAAAAGAATACATGTATCAGACGGCGTAGACATACCCACCATCGGGATCTACAAGCTCAGATACTCGCAGGAGGGTCTAATGTCAAAACGTCAAAGCTTAATGCTTGATAACACAGTGGCTCTTCAAACAAAGTAACCAATGTCAGAATCAAGTAGTTGTTGAAATTCGAGCACAGGAGGGAACGAAAATGAGCAACTCGTTTATACCTAGTATGTCGACATGGTGGTAAACGGTAAAGAAAAGAAAACTGCAGGTATGGTATGTAATGGGTTCGGAGCTGGTTGATTCCGATAGCTCATATAGCCACAGTAATTCCAACAGTAGTCCCCAGCTCTTTCAACTCCACAGTGCAATTCTGTTCATGAGGTATTCTTGATCACGCTCAATGACTGGATGGCGATGTAATGGGCCAATGGCAGTGTTATGCCTGCTGTCAGGGTTCGAATCCCTTCCGAAGGACTTAGTTGTCGAAGGCAAACATTTTTGTAGTGCAGCTAACTAATGCACATTGAAGAAATAGAGATTGAGCTTTTGCTTCCACATCCCCATGCACTGTAGAGGTTATCAGGCTTTTATTATAACCTACATCCTTTCCAGGCAGTATCTTTCTACTGCATCTTCTCCGTGATATGGAAATAAACATAAAAGAAACTACCAGCAAAGGCCACAGAAATCCTTCATGGTGTTGAAATTTGTGTCTCAAGTTCTCGTTCCTTCTTTTTATTCCATACTCGGGCAGCTATGATTAAGGAGCTCAACGTGCATCAGAACAGGATGTACAGACCATACTCGTTTCTGTCATACACGCTGTTTCCAGTGAAGATAGGGACATAAGAAAAAGCCTCTGTGACGCACTGTGTGGAAGGTCTGCTGAGGGTTCGAATCCCATTCGAAGGATGTGCGATCATGACCGCAATAACTTTTTATTGCTTATATCACCTGTATCCAAAGTACATCTGTGTCATTTCAGTATCATCATAAATCTACCTATATGAATTTGAGTTCTTTCAATGATACTACTCCGAACTATGAAACTGTAGCTCCAACTTCGATTGATCATGAGCTGATTCATCCAACGTCTGCATACCCAGGCCAATATTAGAAAGCAGGATTGTGTTGATAATCTGCATAGTCATTCATACTCAGTTTTTTGATAGGACACAGTCACGCACATACCCTTTCTTCATCGTGAACTTTGAATATTCCATGAGGCAGTGAGCCTGAGCTTGAACCTCCTTGTTTCTCTTTTACATCCTGTGCATTGAACCTAAGTAGTAATCAATTAAATCTACACCACGATATAGTCTACTCACATTGTCAGTAAGGAATTAATATACACTGTCAATGATAGTTCAATGTCAGGTAGGTTGAAGGACGATAAGAAAGGACAGAGACGAACATTTTGGTATTATTAATACAAACCCTGCAAAGATCAAGGTATTCAGTGAGGCAAGAAACTGTTACATATGCATCTTCAGATGTGTTGTCCTGAACCTATGCAGATGCTCCACGTACTGTTATGAGAATTATCAATGAACATGCACTATATTTGTCTTAGTAAATGATCATCAAAAGAGAAATCAGAGCTCATGTATGTTGTTGCGAGTCCGGAAATGAGGATAAACCGAATGATAACAATGAGTTTTGCCATGGTGCTAAATTTAAATGCTCTCATAAGAAATTGACCCCAGAGGGAATATTAGGACATGCCTGGAAAACATCGTAGTTGCCCTGCTTTTCAGCAGGTAATAGCACATAGCAAGGGTAATGATTATGTCGAGTGTGGCAGCAGTAGCTAGAGTGCTGTCAATTGTTCACTATGTGAATCTCTTAATATAAGCTACACAGAAACATTCATGAGACATACTTACTTAGATATCGTGGAGTTGGGAAAAATCCGAGATCATATAACTATAACCATGCCAGGGAACTGAGCTGATGAGAATGTCTGGATCAAGGATACTCCTTACACGTCATGGCTTAACACTGTGCTGGTCATGTCAGAGACTGTAGGAAGTAAATGGTTCTAATACATACGGGTTGCAGCAGCTGAAAGATCATATGAACTCCAGAGAAGCACAGTTATCAGCTTTGAAGAACATACCACAGCTCCCCAAAATGACGAGTATCTGAAATAACCTTCATATGAGTGGTGAGTCCTTAAGATGAAATAAATAGACATACAATAAACCATGGAACTATATGATGAAAGTGACGTCCAACTACAGTTCACATTAGCAGTGAGACAGTGAGGAAGCTACCAGAGGAAGCAAACCCACGCATCCATAAATGTACAGAATAGATGCTGCAGGGAATCAGCTTCAGTTCCGAGATTCCAGATGGTGCTTGACATACATATGGACACATACGATAACCAGGTTCTGTGGATAGTCAGCTAGATCCTGTGAAGTAACATCATGACGGACATTGAACAAGATGACCAGCTAATCGAGCAAGGTGGTCAGTCAGTCATCAGAGACATTTCTTTTCATCACACCTTAAGGCTCCTATATTCCCGCCATTAGTCAAAGTGATTGTAAGGACGGAATAGAACAATGAGTGCATCAGACTATTTTTAGAAGTCCCAAATAGTTTCCGAATGATTCAATTAAGTAGAAGTATAGGGCATGGGTGCTGAGAGCGACATGCAGTGTATCAAAGACCCTGGGAAATATATAAACCCCGGAGCTTTCCAAGCGACCTTCGACAGGCATACCAGAGAACTGCAACCTATGATGATTCATTGCGATGTTAGAAATCTTGGTGAGAGGAAATTATGATAAGGGATCTGCACTGAGTAGCGATAAAACCACCAGTCGTCTGAATACCACTTGTAATAGAGAAACGTTTGGAGGATCATTATCCCATATAGACTATGGGTGGTGTCATTAATGGTGAGTCATCAGTTAAGGTAACAATTGCGTACACCAATGCAACGGTTGATCCCAAATAAACAGCTCCTAACATTGAAGCTAGGGATGGTATTATGACAGAGAAGTTTGAGGTGGACATCACCATGAAGGAAGAACAAGGCCTACATCAGCAGGACAACATCTTATAAGTACTTCTGGGCAACATCAGGAATCAGAGCAGATGCACAGATGGCCTGGGTGGTTGAATCAATTGTAGGACACAGAGCGGTACCAAATGTGATCTCGGTTCAATGATCAGGTGTGAGAGAGAACTCACATGGGAACAATGGAATCTCTCACAAGCTTCCTTACCAGACCATAAGCATGAATAACTTTCTTCCATAGGAAGAGAGAATATAACCCTGCTTTAGTCATATCGCAGAGACCATACCTTGTATGAAACAGCACTATCCATCATCAAGACCAGGATGCGTGATGGAAAAAAATGAGGTTATTTCCAATTCAATTAAATCAATCAATCAATCAAGATTCACACTATTCCGAATTCCGAATTGTCTTTTTCTCATCCTTTAGGGCCTTGGCTTAGATTACAATGCTCTGGTGG